CGAGACGGGCCACATCAATGGCTAGAGACATTGTCAGATATGGCCCAGTCGCGCCCTCAATGGCGCTCGTGCATCCAAGCTATTGCCTTCAATGCATCTTTTCTTTTCCGACCCCCCACTTGACAGCCCACTGACAGTGCTGGATTTATGCACCAATTTATCAGCTCCCGCCTGCAATGCGCACTGCCCCCCCTTATTACAGCTGACAATGATGATGAATGGGTGGAGGAGTCAGCTCTTCCAACTTGTAGAATTGTCGTAATTTTTAATCAGCCACCTAATTGAACTTGTCAACCGCGAACACATCAAAGATATCAGCTGGCACGGTGTTCCGTATGGTTAGTACCCTCCTGAGAAGTGAATTTCTGATGGTAAATCTTTATGCTAACTTTTTCAGCTTGTGTTCTGATAGATGGAAGCAGTGCATCTTCCCGCTGTAGTTACTGATTGCGGGCTAACGCGTACTTAATCAGGTCTTTACGTGCTCTTAGGCGCTCCCAGATATCTGTCTTTACGTGACCCTCCTCACAAATCAGGAACTAGCCGGGTTACTATTCGATGAATTGCTCTTAGTCCTGCGGATTCATTATTTGTGCACATAAACCTGGCTGATGCACCGTACATCAGAGGTCACCATGTGGTTTAGGCACGAACTTATTGACTGAGTGGTGCGTAATTGAAACACAGCGTCGGCATCTCGACTGTTCCCGCCTAGACTTGGGAAGCTTGGCTGTGTCTCAGCCGACTCGCGTCCCAGTGGAATGGCAGCCAGGCAGCGAAATGCTGTCATAGCTTAATGGAACCCTTCGTCTGACAAGGATGAAAATCGGGAGGTCAAGATGGGTCATTTATTTTCGCTAACAGCCGGCGTCTCAAGTCCTTAACCCACCTTTTTATGAGTGCCGAGACCTTGAGTCGAATTCTCTGTTACTGGTGATATTGTTCCAGAGAGACAGCTTTTCATCCCGGCCAGTCTGATGATGTTACTTTGCAACCCACACAGGGTGCGCTGTTCCGACCTGTCCACAATTCCTCGATGCACTGTTGCAGTTGTCGTATGTCTTTCTCTGATCTCAGCGCTCTCCACACCTAGAAAATCGCCCACTGAACGAAAAAGCGTCCCTGCCGTTGTGAGCTGCATTGAACCGACGTAAAGGTTTTCAGCTTGCTTTCCATATCTGCTGATCTTTGGTATTACCTCCAATGGGCGTTAAGGTATGAAGAACTGGTTTTGTGTTGTCTGGGGTGAGATGGCTCAAGTGGTTGGAGCGCGAATTTACTAACCGGAAGGTCCATGGTTCTAACCCGACCTCTGCCTCTCGACTTCCCCTGTCTAGGTTTGGGCCATGTGACAGTATCCCAGCCCTCGTGCTTCCTTCGGGTGTTATGGGTGTTTGAGCTGAACGATTTTTTTCGTGCTGTCTTAGACTGTGAGTAAACGCACCAACAAAAACATCCGCATGTTGCGAGATGTGTTACTTTGTTTTCCACTCAACTTCAAATCCTTGCGAACGGACTAGCAACCTATATCTGAATGACTGAAACAGCAGAGAAGACCGCTTTCAGAGAAAGATGCTTGCTGACGGTTAGTCAGCGTATGTTGGTTATATGACGTTTTCAACGTTATTTTCGCAGAAGACGCAAAAGGTAAAGAGGACAATGGGTAGGACGAAATGAGGGCCCGCTTTTACAACGAGCATCACCGGTTATGGAAATTCATACCCTGCAGTATGCCACCATTGAATTACCTAAACTAACTCTACGCTGATAAACTGACCCAATGTGTCAGTAGAAAACTAACTACAGTTTGCATGTCTTCTGTGCTTCAAGAAGGCGTCGCAACTGAGGATGAAAACGATGTTCCAATTGAGACTCATTTCCTAAGTTTACCCCTACATGAATATCACTATTACCATAACTTTTCGATTATCCATTTTTGTGACCTATGAGGAGTTTATGAAAGGCTCCGTAGGATTTTAATAATAAATAGAACCTTAATTTGGTTTAGATACACTGCAACAGACTACATGTCATCACCATTTGACCACATTGGCTGCGAATGACTGCAGAATCATCGTATATTCTTCGTCAAGATATACTCGTATCAGATAAAGCCCTACCTGGAAACAATAATGCTGACCCATTTTTAACTAGGACTACCCATTGCTTTCCACATTGTGTCTATCGGACTGGTAATAATCCTCCCCTATCCTATAGAGCTGAACAATCACAAAATCCGAGTAAGAGGTTGTTAGAATGGACGATTATATACATGCAGGGGGGCTGATTATCCAGCTCTATAGGATAGGGGAGGATTATTACCAGTCCGATAGACACAATGTGGAAAGCAATGGGTAGTCCTAGTTAAAAATGGGTCAGCATTATTGTTTCCAGGTAGGGCTTTATCTGATACGAGTATATCTTGACGAAGAATATACGATGATTCTGCAGTCATTCGCAGCCAATGTGGTCAAATGGTGATGACATGTAGTTGAACAACGTCTAAGCACCTTCGAAGGTGCTGTTTTTGACGTTAAGGAATCCAATTATGGGGTTAATTCATCCAGCTTATTCCGGCAAAGGCAGGCTGCATGTGTCACAAAATATTTATTAATTTGTTCATATATGCCCCCGAATTGTTCATTAATCTAGTGCAAGATTCCAAAAGATTTTTCGCAGACATTTCGTGAGGTTGTCTGCTAAAATCCTTGGGATACATATACCGAAACGGAAGCTCTATCGGATTTTACAGCACATGGCATTCCAAAAGTACTTATAGTTGAATATTGGCGTTTTGAGTGAACTGACAAATACCTGCCTAAGACTTACCATCATTTGAGAAAAAGGATACAAGTCATTCATCAGAAACCGCTCCACCAACCTGAAGTACAACTGCAGTTATATAATTTAACTTTTCTTACTTTGATTTCCCTACCGCACTGTCGCCCAAACATATAATTTTAACTTTGTTTTCAAATTCATCTTGATCATAATCAGGAACCTCGGACATTTTCCCGCCGGACGCGGAACCATCGTGATCATTTTAGGTTTGATACGTTTAAACTGCTGAATTGCCCACCATTGATAAAGGGGACCCATCACTAAAACGTCATGGTCGTCAGGATTCCCAATTTACAACACATTCTGGTACCTACCCTGCTAGACCACTTCGATAAGCCGGCATTCAGCTCAATACACTGATGCACTGGTTCAATCTTTGTCCCATGCTTCCCTGGCCGTTAATCAGCTACGATATACCCGATATTCATGGATGAAAAGGTTGTAGTACCGCTGTAAGTTCTCAGTACTGAATAATAAGCCCCCAACTCGAAAAACCACCTCAAAATATTTCACCGGAATCCCACATATAAAGAGGGTACCTGTCTGAAGAAGCTTATTCCGTGCACAAAATAGCCGCAATTAGAAAACCTACTGCCTAGTAAGACAGCCCGCTCTAATCCGAAAAATCTTATCGTTTCCCCCGGAGATTTTTTTATGGGCAGAAGATTTACGGTACTCAGCCGTCTTAATAGCAGTAGATTGAACATGCTCAATGGAGGTTGCCTCCTTGCATCCTGAGTGGTTGATGGTTACGGGGAACCTCTGACGTAGCCTCAGGTTGTCCATAATTCCACTACCCCAATACAGGAGAAGATTCTTCAAGTCGTTCAACGGACGAAAAGTGGCTTTTAGGCTCGGTTTTCCCTAGTGGAGTGAGAAACTCGTGCTTGAAGACAAGCAGGTAACCGAGCTAGGTTTTATTCTTGTGATATCTTCAGCACGGACGATATCTTCCGACTTCCCTGCAAACGACATGATAGTATATTTTCCCACCCAAATAAAGCTGTTGGCCCGGTGACAACCACTTTGCGGCACCAGCGCGCACCTGAAGTCCGCTGGCGTTGAACCTCCAAGAATCCAATCTGGTTACAGGTATGGATTTCGAATTCGATAGCGCTCCCCGGAGGCCCTTATTGTTGATCAGCAGGTGGAGGACTACAGTGCAGCATTTTTTGACATAACATCCACCAAAAACGCCTGGTGGAATGTCCCTTATCAGACTTATAATGACTCCTTCAATCAAAGAGAACCCTTGTTTGTGAAGAAATGAAGTATGCAGCTGCGCTTTTGAGGAATCAGCGCATCTGGAGCTTTGGATGGGTCCTTCGTCTTAGGTCTTTGCTCAGATGTGCACGAACATGATCATGGTTTTCAAGCACCGAAAGCTTGGAAAGATGCATTTTGCACTTAAGACATACTGTTGCCAAAGCGGTGATGTTGAGCGAACGGCCAGAAATTTTGTTCGTCAGCTTGTAGGGTATACAGTTCAGACCGCGTGATAAGTGGTCACGTCTTATAGATAGGCATGGAATTTCATTCGCTGTAACTGAAGGATGGTTGAGGTATGGAAATATCCGGCAGAAGTGGTCAGTTGAGTTCAACTATACTCCTTTCAGATGCATTGGATGCACGTCGTCTGTCTGCAAGACGCCAAAGTTGTTTGTACTGTGCAAGAACAGTAATTTGGTTGAAGGTTGTTGGCAGTTCCGTGTTGGCGAGATTGGGGGCCGTGAATTCGCTGGGGTTGAAAGCGCACTAGTGGTGATCCTTCCGGGCGTCGGTCATCAACATGGGGCAGCTCAAGGGTTCTTACTGCCCTCCATTGATATGTCCTGTTGCTTGCTTTTTAGAAAGCCACCACTTAATTGAATGGCACGTTTTGTTCTTTCTTCGGAAGGAAACTTGTATCATAAGCTTGTAAGCTCAGTTGCCTTCGTAAGCTCAGATGGAGGATTTCTGATTTACGGTGTTTTCAAGTTCCAAAGAATGCCAGCCCACCCTTTGAGAGCCCTCAAGTTACCTTTGTAGAACTGTTGGACTAGGTTCCCAGGAGTAATCCGATCAACTCTACACCCGTTCATTCAAAATTTCTGGACAGTACTCCTGCAAGCCCAGTCCCAACCCGGGCCAGTTAACAAAGTGACCATCGTGAAATATACATGCTGAAAGGTTTTTATTAATCATTAAATGCTCCGGGTTCTGGACTATCAGTATACAAAACCAGAACGAAAAGCGCAGTAGCATGTCTCAGAGAGGCACAAATTGTCATTCGATTTGAGGAAAAAACCGAACTCACTGTGCGTAATATTCTCCCGCTGGATATCCAATAAATGTGACGAAATTCCAAGCCCGAGCGTTTTTTGAGCGATCTGGGTGACCACCTCACCCCCGCTGATGGAATTGCATCCATGAAGCCTTGAGAATGGTTACTTCCCTCACCGGCGAAAGATGTTTAAATTGTTGGCCTGAATAAGTCACTTGGACTAAGGCTTTGGGGCTATGCAGCTTCCGGTTATAGGCGGGACTCAATGATTTCACTTGTTCTGTACATGAACGAAAAGCAGCCGCCGGTAGACCGAGGTTGGAGTGTATGGCTTCCGGCACCGTATCTGATCGTGCATGTTAGCTGAAAGAGAGGAAATTGAAGGGCATATTTCTTGAGGTACGAAGAGGCTGACCATTGCATATTCAGAGCGGAAGCTATAAGTCTCGTGACAGTGACACTTGGGTCTACGGAAACCGTGGAATTTTTGTGTGCATGAGTGGCGACTCCAAACAAGTCAGCGTCAGTTTGACGGCCTTCTTGAGCGTTAACAACGAAGGTTATTTGCTAGTAGTACTGGTGCATGGTGAGGGGATGTGAAATTTTGCATCACCCAGAGCTTGCAAGTTTTTGGCTGGGGAGCCTGTTAGATAAATTTCTTAGGCCGGTAATGTTGGGGGAAGCGGGATTGTGTTACTGATTTCGAACGGCCTCAAAACGCCCAAATCACCCACATTTAAGTGAGAACGAACTGAGGTATCGACTAACGAGAGTAGGTGTGGCCTCGTCGTGGCGGGTGATTTGGTCTAATGCATGCGCTAACGTGGAATAAGCGCAATATATACATATGTCACCAAGAAATCAAACGGTTTTAAGCTAGAATGGTTGGGCATCAGTTCTAGTTATCTGAGTAGGCTGGACTGATAGGGCCACTGAGGACTGCAACATCCGTGTGACCGAAAAGCAGGAGAGCAAATTGTAACACGTTCCGCTGCATCAAACTTTCGCTCAGTAAGGCTCAGCAAATGCCCTTGACGTGCATGGTGAGGGAGAGCCAAAAGATGCACAAAGGGTATGAATATCTGGCCCTCTTGAGACAAGTTCTGCTTCAGACTCGTTCTTCCACTGAGAGGAATATACTCGAAATGCATTCGCTGCTGTTCGGATGATTCAATCAATCAGATAAACATCCGATACTCCACAGGGCATAGGTCAACCAAATTGCCCCCCAAGGACGCAGGAAACTCGGAGTCGTTGTTGAGGGTTTCCAGAATGCCGCTACGAAGATTTTTGCCGGCCTCAAAGTAGTTGACTATGAAGCTCATATCCAGATACATGAACTCCTGCACTTGTGACGGTACCCGATGCTTGTCCATATTTTGCCCGAACAAGCTTTGGCCTGCAGATTTTTTGGCGCTGACAACTAGAAACATGGAGGGAAATAGTGAGATTTTCTAATCCAGGGCGCCCACTTTCATTAGGTAATCGTTGCCCTGATTTCAGATCGTTAATGCGTGGAATGAGCCTTCTCCATTGTTTGTTCGCGCTGCATCTAGAGCCCAGTCGAAATCACTTTGGATAGTTCTTTTTGTGAAACCTTACGGTGACATGCCCAGCACTGAGAATATCAAAGCTTTTGCCCTTCAGGTGAACGGCAGCTAATGAACAGCAAGAACGAACCCAACCAGCGGGGCTTGGGCGAACACCCGAATCCTGTGTAGTAATCAGTGAATCCGTGATTCCGTTCATGAGTTAACCCATGTCACGTCTGGTCAGCGCATGAGCCAATCAGCACCCAGAGTGTTTTCAGCGCCGCGCTACTCGCCTCAACGAATACCGTAAGGGGGGATTTCTGGGGCGACCTCGGAAACACAGTGCTGACTATTCTCCTTGGTTCTTTTGGAGTTAATTTCAAACTACCATTGCTTTTATGTACACAATGTGGACTGAACGACAAGGCGCATCCAGTCAGTCCCCAGAAATACAAGATGCGTTGTTCGAACGGAGAACATGGTGTGAGCGAGAGATACTTGTCTGCAACTCTGACAATCTATGGATACTGGAAACACAGTCTCCTTAAATTTGGGGTTACTGATTTATTTTATGGGTGTAAGCGTATGTACGAAGTATGGTGTGAAGCGATTTACAGCCAAATAGGCCAAAGAATCACGTGCGTGTGGGGGAGGGCGAGATAGCGCAGTGGTTAAAGCGCAAAATTACTGACAGGAAGGTCAGTGTTTGGAACCCGGCCTATGCATGTCGATTTCTCTTTAGGCTTGGACAAACTGGCAGTATCTCGGCTATCGTGCTTCCTTCGAGTGACATGGCAGCCAGGGGCCGAAAGCGTGTTGCAGCTGAACGATTTATTCATTCGTTCCCCCACAAATATGGCCATGCTGGCCTCCTTGATATTCCAGTCTGAGTAGCATATCATTAAATTTAGAAGGCATCGTAATACAGTTTCTCCCAGTATTGGTAATCGCTGGCATGGTAGCTAGGCACCCTTTCGGTGCCTAGCTACCATGCCACCCGAAGGAAGCACGAGGGCTGTGATACTGTTAAATCGCCTAAATCTAGACGGGAAACCGAGAGACAGGTCTCGTTCGCTACGGACCTTCTGGTGAGTAAATTCGCGCTCTAACCATCAATCCATCTCTCTCCATCTCACCGAGCAGGCGCAGTCCTCTAGTTTCTCTCAACGTTATGTCCTGCTTGAATCCAAATTTTGCGCTCATTCGCTCAGTACAGTCAGTTACAAATTAATGTGATTTTCAACTGCTCCTGTCCAAGCATGGGCATCATCAGGGCATCAGTAAAAACCGCGTACTTGCCTTTCAGTGGTTCTAGCCGCCACCGTCTCATTCACTGATGATTTGGCGAGGTGCGGTACATCGCTGTGCACTGGAGATGATGGCTGATATGAATGATGCGTAAATACCGGGGTGTCAGCAGAGCTTCGGAGGGTGGCAATACACTGGATGCATGAGCTCCATTAAGGGTCCGACTGGGCCATATGTGACAATGTCTCTGGCGGTATCCAAATTCTTTTGCCTTCTTGCGAGTTGTATGACCGCAACGTACCGCAGCGACAGCTGAATAATTATCATCATCATTATTATTAACAGAGAGACTTGCTCTCATTTCGTTCGAATTGATCTATTTAATATACTTTAACCAACATTTTAGAAGAAACATTACTGTTGATTGTTGTGTTTGTGTTTGCGCCTTTTATGGTAGCATATACCTTGAATTTACGAATTGTTTCCTTGATTCCTGTTAGCGTCTCTGGGAATCCCGTACGAATGAAGCACAACTTACAGGCTTTTTGCCTCCTATGTCCCCTCCTAACGATGTGCCTACCTGCAACCCGTACAGAACTGCTATGAATAAAGCAAGAGACGGGTTGCCAGTCATAAAGCTGATCGCGTATCGAATGCATCCGTTTAGAGGCTCTTCTTCATTCACCTTTTCAGGTCTAGATTTCAACGGCAGCCTCTTTCAGTCCATTCACTTCAGGCCGATTTTTACTGTCCAATCTTGTCTTTTATTAATCTCAGTCACCTCCATGCAATTGCTGTACCGCCTTCGTGGGCTTGTCTGTTTGTGCATTCATTCCCTCCTCCCGAACAACTACGCTTCGTGACTCCCCGACTCCGCTCTTAAACTTTTGAAGACTAGCGGTAACGAGTTCTCACGGAGGCCACATTATTCTTGTTTTGCTTTTCGTAAATCCTATGTACAGGAAGCCTCTGACCATGAACATACTCCTCCCATTTGCGTTGCAAAAAAGGTAACGGTGAAGGTGGCCCCCAAGTCAGGGTGCTAGAGTTTTTAACTGTTGCTTGATGTTTCTTTCCTATGTATTTTCTCAGTTCTACTTCGTTACAGCTTTCCACCCATCAGTAGGATGTCGACAAGCGAAGTTCGTGTTTCCGCTCCAGTCAATATTGCTATAACAAAATATTGTAATGCATGCCATAAATAACCGAGTCTCAACTATTGAAGGGGGGAAATTAGATGAACTCAATATACACCCAGTCAACAGCTCTATAAGCATGACCCTCAATCAAGACCAGGTATTTCCACTGCTTTCTGAGTATATTTATCAGTTAATGACCACTACTCGCTTGGTAACAGGTCCAGATCTGACAAACTCAAGCTTCTCACTGAATGGAAGGTAAGCCGGGAAATTCATAGCTGTACAAACACTTTCAGGATGTATGAAGATGTGCCGGGAAGAATAAAGGATGTAATTATCATAGGTAAGCTTTCCACGTTTGGAATCATTTTTATGGTAGCTATTTGGGCTTATCAAAGCTCAACTAAGAGCTCGTCTCGCTGGGAGGACCAATGTTTATCCGCATCTATGTATTGAGTCAATCAACAGCTTTCCAACAGCCGCTGGCCTGGCTTCGAGTGCATCTGGTCTAGCTGCCCTTGGTAGGTGTGGATGTATTCCCACTTCATTCGCGTGTATCCATTTGGATAGCCTTCGGATTAACTAAACTGTACAGGTTAGACGAGGATCCTCCGTCGTTGGCCCGCCGTGGATCTGGTTCTGCTTGTCGTAGCTTGTATGGTGGATTTGTGCATTGGATTAGATCTAATGATACTCTTTGTTCGACTGGTGGATCCCAAACCCACTGTTCTACTGTGCACGAACTCTATCCCGCCTCATATTGGCCTGAATTGAAGGTTTTGATTTGTGTTGTAAGTATGCCATTATTATGATTTTTAACAGTAGTTCCGCTAGGCAAGCAGTCACAAGAAGTCGATTGGATCGACAACTGGGATGCAACGCACAGTCAATACCAGCCAACTTTTTCAACGAGCTCGATGTGAAAGCGTCAAGCAGCATGAACTGTTGCTGTTGTCTGCCTTACGTGACCGTGATTTTGAAAACTTCGCTCGAATTGCAATGCAAGAAAGCAATCAATTGCATGCTGTTTGTTTAGACACTTGGCCACCTTGCATCTTTCTAACAGATGTCAGTCTAAAACTCATGAATTGGGTTCATTTGCTAAATCGGTTTTGTGGAAAGACAGTGGTAAGTTCCCTGTATTCCCTGTATTTTCCTAGCCGATAAGTCGATAGTCCAGGTTTGGGATCGTGCTTGTCACTGTCACTGATTTCCTCATTTCTGGTACATAACTAAGCGACCCAGATCTAAGTCGAATCTTCCACTTCTCGTAGGTACTACTTGCGTTATTTTGACCGTGATTCTGGTCCGCAGAGTACAATCTATTTCCGTGGATGTTGCAGAAGTCGGTCTGCCATTTAACGAACTCTGTGGACTCATCATCATCGTCGACAGCATGACATCAGTGTTCAACACCGATGCTTCTGCGAACTAATCAACTACCATACAGGAAACGTCTGAGTTGCTCGGTAATTCCCTCAAGCTGTCATGGAAAATGACCAAAGAGTTGAAGTTGTGTTATTTCCAAACGTTTAAACACAATACGGTTTCTTCAACAATCGCGCTGGTTATTCTGTCAAAAGGATCAAAGGACACAAATGATTGAGCACCTCAACCTGTCAATGTGTTAGGTTAACAGCATCTGAGGCACACTGAAGCGAATGGTGAGTCGACGGGCCTTTCAACACTAATTTCTGTCGGTAGCCACAAGGCCCGCTTAGAGTGAAAACAGGATCATCCGTCGTTATCTGTCCTAAGGGTCACTCAGGGTGGCAGCTGTCCTTAATGGGGTCCAGTATGTACGAGTTAGAACCCGTATTCACAGGTACGTCGCTAATTTCAGCACGATTCTCTCGACAAGTTTACTTGAAGAACGGAAAATGGAGTGCGAAATAATCGGTTCGACACACGGACTCAACGCTTGCAAATGCACACTACCTGTGTTCCTGTCCAGCAAGTCACTCGTGCGTAAACGAAAATTCAACCACCCTTGTCACTCAGTTTTCCTGAATGTACGACAGCAGTACACGACGTCATCTCCAGTGGGGGGTTACTGCCCATGTTTGGAGAAGGTATTCTGGTCTTTAGACACGAATATGTGCATGGAATGTTGTAAAGGAGTCCAATGCATGCACGCCACACATGGTAACATTTAAAAACCTCCATATGGTAGAGGTAAGATGTGGAGAATGACTTGAAAGTTCGCAAAAAGAGGTTGGAGTAAGCTGGCTCAAGCAGTGTTTCACAATTTGGTTGGCGGAGAATGGTGGTTATGACTGAATGGTCCGTTTAGACCATCTGAATTAGAATTATTTCGTTGTTGGGTAAGCCATCCCATCCAAAGTTCCTGGTGACATTACCTCTTTTTCACGGCTGCGATCCATCCAAAGATCTCTTCCCCTTTTGTGCATTCTAGATGTGGCACATCCTATGGTACTTGTGTGCGCTGCACAGTGACATTCAACACAATGGCCTCTCTAGCTTCTAGGCGCACATTAGCACACAAGTAACTCTGCACCTTTAGACATAATATAATTTTGCATTAAATGCTCTCATTCGCATATCTGTTTGGTTCCCACGGGACGCGCAACTGAATCTCTCGTTCATGAAATTCCTAACTGAATGTGCTGCACACAGGCTGCCTAATGTTTCGGCTGGTACAATATTGAAGATATCGCAGCATATTTTTATGAAGGATAGTACTCATAATGCTGTCGAAAACCCTTCGACAGTCCTCAACCGGCTTCATCCTTATGTGGCTTCATCAAGTAAGCATGGTCCCTGAGTTTCCCTCAACTTATGTTCTACATGAACCCTAATTGGACGCGATTCGAGGTTTTCAGAAACCTTATAAGTAGTTTCCTTTATGGAAATAATTCAGAGTTGTCCACCTCGATATATGTGCTTGGATCAGTAATAAAGCTGTATACGGTTTTTGTTTTATTTTCTTGGCAATTTCGTGGTTACGCAGTCTTGAGTTATCGTGTATCAGTATGTTACTTCACTGAAGCTTAGACAGCACTAGTCCACATCGTCACCTCTCGGTTTTACCTAACAGCTGACCGATAGTCAGGCCTCTAAGTTAAGATCGCTTAACTTAGAAGCTCGATATATCTCCGTACTTAGGGCGAGAATTTACTGGCAGAAAGGTCCGTGTTTCGAATCTAACCCGGGCATCTCAACCGATGTTTTTGGGCTTGGGCAATCTGACATTATCTCAACCGTTGTGCTTTCTTCGGGTGGCATAGCAACTATACACCGAAAGGATATTTAGCTGAATGGTTATTTAACAGTGAAAGTGATCGAGGATTCACGAATGAACACCATTCAAAACCAGTTGTGCGCCCGAACTACCTTCTCCAGTTATTAATAGTAACGATAGCTATATTTCATTTAATGATCTGTTTGGACTGTTCCTGGCGCTACTTCGTATCTTCCGGGCAAACTATTCGCGAAGACATCTTCCAAGTGGTAGCGGGTTCAACGTAACAAGTATTACTACAGGGAAAGTACGGTGTTCCGTATATTCTATCCAAATGCATTTGCTTTCACTTACATCTCACATCACCGATTCCTCTCTGACAACCTTCTTTGAGCGACCTTGTTAGTGCTTGATGTGGAGGGGCATCACTATTTTCCTTCTTCGGTTTAGCCAATACGTTATGTGGGTCTCACTGTATCACCGACTTCGAGGATATCCTCAAGGAAAGAATTTCCACTTATTGGGCTGCTTGGAAGCTGCAGTCTGTGTTAGCGAAAAACAGAGGTCAATACACGGCTCCGTCTATGTATCAAAGATGCTATCCCAGTCAGGGTGTGGATGGAGTTACCTATCACTACAGACATCCGAAGCATGTCGACGCACGACTGTAATGCAACTGCTTCCGTACTTTCATTCAGTTACTCCGCTTTCAGGCGTCCACTGGCGGAATTTGTCTTTATCCATATACTTGCGAAACTATCAGTAACAATAACACACGAACGGCTGGCGACTGCCTCATTCATTCCGACTGCGCTCTCACCTACCGGAATGTCACTCGATCCCTTCAGCGCACGCGTGTTCAGCACATCAGTGTTATGGTTTACACGTTCCATTCTTACGCTCGGTTCGTTATTTCCGGTCTTTCAGCTAACCTATTTCTTTTGTCTGTCTATTCCAATAAGGTCGCCTACACGTTTGACGCTGGCCCGAATGCGTTTCTGTTCGCCGAAGAATCGAACGTCTCGTTTTTATTGCACTTGTTAGCTCTCTGCTTTGGGACGAAGTCGTGTGAGACGACACTTGACGTTCCTTCTAGTGATCATGTATACGTCACAGACCCGGTTGACACAATGGCCAAGAGTCTTTTGTTCCGTGGAATAAAATACCCAGTCTATTCAAGACCAATTGATACGGTAGGTTGTTTTCGTTTGGATTTTACAACCCCTCTGTTTACTACTGATAAATTGTGCTGTATTTACTAACACGCATCAAATTAGCTATCATCCCACTCTCTCTATGCGGCTGTCGCACACGTCGCTTGGTTTGTGGAGATGACCCTAACGGTTGAAGTTGGTAGTCTTGTGGCTACCTAGTGTTTAGTGTTCATATTTGAATGTGAGCGTGAATAGATACCGTCAGGTTATTCGGATATTTTTTGCATTATATCACGGTAAGACTCTTGAGATGGCCTGCCAAACCCTTAGAACATCTCAGTAGGGATCTTTAGCTGACTCGATGTCCTAGGGACTCTCAAAACTGTGGTAACAAACAACCCGAGATGGGGGCCCCGGGACTCAAATCACCAGTGGTTAATGACATTGGCGGAAATGGCCCGATTTCGCAGTCAGTGGCGCTCGTGCATCAAAGCTATCGCCTTCGATGCGTAGCTACCCAAGTTCCAAGGCTTGGTCGTATATTCCGCTTTCCCGTTTTCTGGTGATCGGAAGTGTAGTAGCTGGAACCATTGTGCCTATGGCACACGGTTTATAGCTAATAAATTGATTGAATTGGTAGCAGCCCGAAACGATATACACCTCTCAGGAAATCTTCACGTTAGGTTACGTGACCATTAAGAAATGTTTGGTCGCATCATGAAATATCGGACTATAAGACTTCATCAATGCAGTATAAAAATGGATCGTCCTCAAGAACGCGGAGTACACGGATGGACGACCATTATATAATCCGCCCTGTTGCACTAATCTCCATCACTCAGAGATAGAGAAGGTGCTTAATATCTGACATCTTTACTCTGGAGAAGACGAACATCTCATCCGTATGCTTATGAAACTAGTTTGAAACGCCTGAATACGTCTACTGCTTTATACTACTATGGTGCAGAAAGTGTGGTAACGCCTTTACAACGCCCAGGGGAACCTTTTAGTATCTCCCGAACGGGATTTCCCTAACAAGAGGGCAGTTGCTTTTGTGTGAAGGCGTTGAAGTGTGATTTTTGAGTACTGAGGGTAATCCGCCCTGCCACACAACTATATTACATTATTTTCTAGCCATGCTTATCGTAATTGTCACAACATTTAGAACCTGTTCATCATCATCGTCATCATCATCATCATCGACAGCATGACGTCAGTGTTCAACACCAATGTCTCACTACCGTACAACGATGATTTATTTGAAAGCTTTGTGAGAAAAATCATAAAGGTGGATGGGGAAGAGACTTAGTGCTACCGAGAAATACACCCAGTTGTAAATCAGTTTGGTTTTTCATGAGAGACTCAACTGAATCTCTCCTTTATGATATTCAGTTGAGTCTCTCGTGAAAACCAAATTAATTTGCAAATGAGTGTATTTCTCGGAAGCCGATCAATTTGGTTTCAAGTAGATCACAAGGTTAACGGAAACTCGGGGATTGCGCCTACCTGATGAGCCCCAAGAAGGGCGAAACCGGTCGTGGGCTGTCGAAGAGTTTTCAGCAACCTTGTGAGTAGTTTCCTTTAAGAAAAGACTTAGTGCTAGTTTACAACAATCATTCCGAGGTGCATACACCTCCAGACACTCATTCACGCAATCTAGATAGAAACTGACAGCAAGAACGCCAGTGACATCGATTAGCAGTCATACCTTGCGGCGTCTCCAACCAGCCGTCCTGAAAGGTGAGTAGCACCGACAGCACCCAAACGTTTCGTAATCTCCTTCATACCCCCTGCCAGAATATGTTAACATATGCCAGTGCATGACTGTCGGTAGAAACTTTGTGCGAAACGAGTAGTCGTGAAAGAATTTCCAGCTGCTAGTGGAGTTATAGACCAGTCTGATGAAAGATGCATCGCTGGTACATTCCCCTGACTAGCACTGCTGGACTACTGCTGAGTACCACTGGTGATGTTTGGTTTAAACACGCTGTTTTCAATGGTATAACAGCTATTTAGGCTGCTGAATGGGAGAAAACCAGCGGTAAGTTGTAGTTCCACATTCGAGAACGCACTGATAGGTCGACTAAAAAGTTTACTCCAGACAGTATCCTATCCATTCTTAGTTTATAGTGTCTGAATGATTCCAATTCGAATCACAGGGGAGTTCCTCATTTATATCGGTCAGTGCCCACGGTGAATGACATAATCAGGAGGGTGCTAGGCCCCATTTTTGTTTGCATTCTTCAGTAAACTACACCAGAAGATTGGGCGGAAAATCATACCGTTAGTGGTGAGGATACCCATCTGGAAATGCTTACAATCTCCAGTTGCTCGCCTCGATGTCCTTTAACAGTATGCGAGTGAATCAAACGCATTTTCTAAACACATCCCTCGAATATTGGAAAATACAAGATGAATTAGAGGTTTAAACATGTTACGGAGATAAGAAACTTAACATTTTTTTGTGATGGCGTTGCAATTAGTAAGAAGTTCACCCGTGACTTGGGCTCGATTAATGGCAAGTTCCAGTGGAATCACCAGTTGTTGCTTTTGGAAATACGCATTAAACTTTGGCTACCTTCAGTTACATGCTGCCATCGCCAAATCCATGTGGAATATCACGGAAGGTGATGAGCCATCTAACCTATCCTCACACTAACAGTTTGCCCGTCTTCACCCGTTTGACTGTTATCCCCTCCCTGGGGAAATCGATTTTATCACAGCGGTTGAGGCAACCGAGTCGACAGCTGGGTCCATCGGGGTAGATTGTCTGGGCCTGTCGTAACTCCCCTCTTTATCACATAGCTATTGAGCATTACAGAGCAATGGGCCAAATGGGCCAGAGATGTGCGGAATAGGTCTTCATACAAAGAGGGTCATACATCATGATAATATGTTTGCTAAGGTCGATGGTTGATGCCCAGACGTCACAGACTCTTGTTTGAGAACTTCTGATTGCAACCATCGAGACGAACTCTAAGGGTTTCAGATTTTGTAGCAATATCTGCGTCGTTTAATCGGGAAAAGTTTGAAAACACACTGCAGTTTGAGGTAAAGAGGTAATGAAACTTGAAACTTCAAACTTTGTGGTTGTGCGGAGCCACTAACGCTCCGCTTCTTAACAGCACATCGACGATATCACCTCGATGAAACGTCTGCAGTTAAATTGTCTAATGCAGAGAACTGACCGGCAACCGTTCTCCAGCATGTTGGAGTTGTGTTTATTAAGGTGCTCTCGGTATGGTGTTTTTAGCTGTTATTGTTTGACCTTTCTCTGAACCGGACACTTGCTTGGATCAAACGTCGGAATTTGGAACCTCCTCACATCGAATGTGATTTGGTGCCTATGGTAGTAACCCAGAGGGAACAGATGAATGTGTCAAATGTGTGCTGATAGTGGACTGCTAAGAACCCTATTCACTTTAGCGGACCTGTTGAAGGGACTTTTCAGCCCATATGAATGACGAGTCTCTCAACTGCTCACAAATGCCGAAATATGGTTGTCCAGCAGGTAGCTTCTTCTGGACGGGAAATCTTGTCAGGTGGACCGGGTGACCAACACATCGAGGACGGTTACTAGATTTTCGTTCGGGCCATCACTAAAACCCGTCACACATGCTGCCTTCAGACCTAGTAGTTCAGAAACACTCACAGAATGGTAGTTGAGTGGTGAAAACGTTTGCGCCGATTGTTGGTTATCAGGAATTCAGGTACCACACTGCCCATAAGCTCTACTGAGAGGGGGACTTGAGTTCGAAGCTTCCCCGCTTTGATATGGACTGTCCAGCATCGCTGCTTTTTGACGGGTGGAGATCTGTTTAAACGACAGTGCCGTGGACACGATAAACTAATCAGATCTATCATTTATTCAGAGCCTTTTGTATGCTTGTTTTTCCTGCTTCGTTAGTGTTTCATACATTTTGATGCAATATTCAAGGAGGCAGTTAGGGTTCCCCAAAGATTACGGGCTGCAGCTTTACTCTTGGCAGCAGACGGGATCCCACTTTGCCGTTCAATTTCTCCCCGTAACCTCGACTTTCGAACAGACATGTCTTAGTCAGTCCTCCTAGTTTCCAAACTTTTCTTTCTTCCATAGGAACTACTGAAGGCATTACCAAGGCATGAGGGTGGTATTCTGCATGTGATTAGCACCGAGGTAAGTGATCGCTTCATCTGATTCTGAGTGGTGCTTAGTGTTAGTTGTAACGTAATGAAGTTGATTATCAGAAGGTAACAAGCACTAACAAATGTCTGTTCTGCCAGAATGATGATGATGGTTAATACAATAGTTAAGTGCACTTGATAAAAATGCGAAAAGTGGAATAAGGCAAAAAGTGGCTTATCGTTGGAAGACAACTGTTGAGAGTTCGTGAGTGAAACTCCGGACGCGGGACCTGTCTTCTATGCTGTATAGCTGCTACACGTGTTTCGTAGTTCGCTGTGGAGACTTGTGGAGCTCAGTTGAATTCCTGTCGTTTGTGTGTGTGTGTGTGTGTGTGCTGGACCGAGTTGTATGCCTATATATTGTGTGCAGTGTGAAGAGAGGGGTGTCCCTTCGTGTCTGATGCTTGCACGAACATGAATACAACTTTACCTAATGTGGTTGAAGTTCGTAAGCCTGGCGCGTGACGCAGGTGGTATCCGTGTAAACAGAAATAGATGGGAAGTTGTAGTGTACATGTTGTCGGCTAAGGTTGAGTGACGCGTAGCCGCTACAAATACTCTCCCCCTACCGAATACTGGTTTTACTGATGTTTTCAGGCTAAGGATAAGGTGCATACATTGCCTTCATTCTAGCATGAATTGTCTGCCTGTGTCACTTCAACCCTCTAAGGTGCTCCCAGCACTCTAGGTCATTTAATTATTCTGCTGGCTTTTGTTGTTTCACAAGTGCGCTAATCTAATGATCCATTTTGTCTTTACCGACCTTTGCGCCTCGATGTATCCTATTCTTTCTCTGTAAATAGCCGTCACATTGGTGATGCTGGAGCATCACTGATCGCGTGTTTGAATCATGTCTGTTAATGTTACCAAGCGTT